TCGCGTCTGCTTGCCTACCGTTTTGCCATCTGTTCTGCGCACATGGTCCCGCGCTGCCGCCACAACCGACTTCCACCAGTCAGCGAGGGAAAGGGGGAGGATATTTGTACAAATCTTATTTATGCTCGTGCGTTCGTTTGTATATGTTCGTGTCTACACGTACAAAACTTTAAAATTTCGAAAAGAGTGCAAACACCCCCTCCTCCACCAATCTTGGCTAGTGAGGAGTACATCACAGCAATGCGCCATTTCTGATTCTGCAAAGCGGTAAATCGACTTGTATGTACACAGTTACTGCCACCGTTGTCTAACAGTCAAAGTCGCCGTAGGTCATTCGTTTTTGTCATTAATGTTATCATATGTTTTCTGTCCTACGTTCGCATATGCAATTGCCTTTATTTGGTACCCTCGCTGAGTACAGGAAAGGCGGAAGCGAAGTGAGCCTGTTCGCCGAGGCAGCCGGTTGAACCTGAACACACACGATTCACATGCATTATTCAAACGAATCGTCTGTAACTAGGCTCTAATTAGTAGAAAGGCTCCTTTTATACCTGCAGTAAATCTTTCAAATTCCGTCATGGGCATGGATATAGGTAAATTAAAGTATTAGTGTAAGTTCCTTCAGGGTGATCTCAAGAGCGACTAATTTCCGACAATGCATCAGTAGCACCCGCTTTTCATCTCCTTCTGCCGCGGTGTGAATGGATATATTGACACTCTCGAAACACCATATCAAATCACAAAACGAAGAAGTGCGTCATGGACATTTATGAATATAAAATGTGACTTTTATTTAACGGCGTGCTTTGGGGCTGGAATACCGAGTACAACAACAGCGTTCGTCTTCGATGTGTCATATGTTGTCATTAAGGGCTCCGTGTCATTAAGGGCAGAAATTCCAGCATTGCATTCGGCGTCATTGCTTGGGAGCAATAAATTACAATATGCCTCACCGAAATATCGATAACGATGCAAATAAAACAAATAACAAAAAAAATTGGATCAGTGTGGTAATCGAACCCGGGCCGTTTGGGTGCCAGCGAAAACAGAACCCGCGTCGTTTCAGTGTCAAGCGGATGTTCTAGCACACGGCCAAGCGTATGCTTGTGAATACATTGAAAATAGCTTCCTCTGCTTTAAAATGCAGTGAAAGTGACACATGTTTTACAAACACACGCGTCCTGTATACTTGCTTCACAATGCAACATGAAATATTGCAGTAATAATGTGTGGTGCAAGCGCACATGGAAATCAGGCGTCATAACATGTAATTATCACAATTACCTCGTGGTTTAAAGCCGGTAACCCACTACAAAAAACGCACACACGTTACTGTGCTTTTTTTCCTTAAGGAAATATATAAAGGGTGCTTAGCTGATTCGAAAAGCTTTCATGCATTGAGTGTTTGAAGTACGCACTATAGGCACAGAAGATCGCCATCGCTTTGAAACCCTATAGGCGAAGCTGTAGGGTCCCCTAATTTTTAACTACCATTATAACCTTGTTCCGGTTTCATCAAATGAACTTGATCTAAGCCGTCATTGACACGTCAGCCGCAAAGGAGCAGGCAGATTTATTTTTTTTTTGGGGGGGGGGGGGGGGGGGAGCGTGCAGATTTTTTATATGGGCCTTTTTCGTTTAGTATGCCATAGCGAGACAAAAAATCGGGAAGGGTGGATATGGGTTTGGTGTGGTTCCGCGACATGGCTACTCCATCGGTCAACCCGTTTGGCTAAATATAAACTTAAGCTTAGTTTTGCTGTGATTCTACGGAATTCGGCTGATGGATCTCTTGGACTCTTTCGAATGAAGTGTCCGGTGGCACGCACGATTCCAAGTACTGAATAACTATATTTATTACCGAATAAATATATCTAATAACTATATATAAAAAATTCTAACAAGGGGAAACTTGCGATGAACAATCCCTAAACTGGGGTTGTGTCGACACTTGTGTTCCTCATGGCTAGAACAGAACTGATTTATTTAGCGCTAGCGTGTCTACGCTTCGTACTCTCTCCTGCATACATAAATAACTATATAAACATAATGCGAAAGCCATTATATTCACAGACCCTTTTGTGAAAAACTGCCCCATTTTCATCGCCATTGACGAGTTGCCGGAGTTTCGCGGATGACAGGCATTGGCAGTTCCTGAAACCAACTGTGACGAGCTTTCTATAGGCGTAGGACCACCATGATATACTAACAAGTGCTTTAGCAGCACAGCAAAATATCACTTGGTATGTTGATGCAACCCCTTTTTCAGAGGCCAGGAATCACCACTCGAAAGGAGTGCGCTTCCATCAGTGACAACAACCTCGTAAAATATCCTTGATTGATTGATATGTGGGATTTAGCGTCATAAAACCACCATATGATTATGAGAGACTCCGTAGTGGAGGGCTCCGTAAATTTCGACCACCTGGGGTTCTTCAAAGTGCCCCCAAATGTGAGCACATGGGCCTACAACATTTCGGCCTCTATCGGAAATGCAGCCGCCGCAGCCGGCATTTGATCCCGCAACCTGCGGGTCAGCAGCCGAGTACCTTAGCCACTAGACCACCGCGGTTGGGCAGAGATAGATAGATAGATAGATAGATAGATAGATAGATAGATAGATAGATAGATAGATAGATAGATAGATAGATAGATAGATAGATAGATAGATAGATAGATAGATAGATAGATAGATAGATAGATAGATAGATAGATAGATAGATAGATAGATAGATAGATAGATAGATAGATAGATAGATAGATAGATAGATAGATAGATAGATAGATAGATAGATAGATAGATAGATAGATAGATGATACGCCCAAAGTCGCCGAAGTTCGCTAAGATTCAGCTCAGGGTCATGAGTCCCGTCAAGCTGCTTTTTAGCAGCTTTTAATTCCTGTCCTTGCATCTTTTTCACTTTTTAATCTGATTTACATATTGTTTTGTGTTGTGTTGGGTGGAGCACATTCGGCAAGCACTCTCAAATTATGACAGGTAGATTGCCACTATCCCTCAAGACGAAGGTATATAACAGCTGTATCTTGCCGGTACTTAGCTACGGAGCAGAAACCTGGAGACTTACAAAGAGGGTTCAGCTTAAATTGAGGACGACGCAGCGAGCAATGGAAAGAAAAATGGTAGGTGTAACCTTAAGAGACAAGAAGAGAGCAGAGTGGATTAGGGGACAAACGGGGGTTAAGGATATCATAGCTGAAATCAAGAAGAAGAAATGGACATGGGCCGGCCATGTAGCGCGTAGACAGGATAACCGCTGGTCGTTAAGGGTAACTAACTGGATTCCCAGAGAAGGCAAGCGGGTTAGGGGGAGACAGAAGGTTAGGTGGGCAGATGAGATTAAGAAGTTTGCGGGTATAAATTAGCAGCAGCAAGCACAGGTCCGAGTTAACTGGCGGAACATGGGAGAGGCCTTTGTCCTACAGTGGACGTAGTCAGGCTGATGATGATGTGTTGACCATTGCTATTGTATGAAAACATTGAATCACCGTACTTTAACATGATTGCTGAAAAAGATTGCTAAATAAACTGAAGCTGAAATGCTTCACATTAAAAAAAAAAAGGCGCTCTCCTTGCGCCTCCTTTTCTGCGACGACTTCCCGGTTTGGTGAAGGGACACAAGCGTGTACAACGCGCACAGAAAAGAAGCACGGCAAAGACAAGCGGAGGCATGCGCTTTATGCGCAACAGCAGAAATGCCCCTCAACTACACCGCAACTGACTGGGTTAACGAACGCGCATCGGAAGTGCATCCAAAGCGCAAGCGACGTGCATGACACGCGCTCGCGGTGCGTCCTTCCGTTCGGATAGCACGGAGCGTGTCGCCGTCTGGCAACCTCCGGAGGAAGGCATCATCGGGAGTGCCAGCGTCTCCCATTGGAAACGCTCGGTGGTCGGCACACTAGTAAGCGTATTCTAGGCACTATAACGCTAGTAACCTGCCTCTTTCCTATCTGGCAACGCTGGTAACATGCCTCTTTCCTATCTGGCAACGCTGCTAACCATTGTTCGGCTGCGCTGTACTGTCGATGTAGGCTGGTCGTAATTTTTCCGTTGTCGTGCTCTCTCCGAACAATAATAGTAACCATTGCTTGGCTTCGCTGTACTGCCGATGTAATCTGGTCGTAATTTTTCTATTTTCGTGCTCTCTCCGTAAATTATTACGTGCCGCCGAGCGAAATACCCCCACGTGCGTTGCCTCCAACACCCTTCAAGCCAAGTGACATGTCGGCCGACTCCTCTCAAGAGAACCCGATCCAAGTTGTGGCGCAACAGGTCAGTATTTTGTGGCAGTGTTAAGTTTAAAGCTTGGAAAATACGTTAAGCAGCATCTCATTAGGGAGTTTTAGAAAAGCGCACCGCGAGCCCTTGCAGTGCGGTCGCTGCCATTGCGCATGTGTCGCAACGCGAGTCGGCGTTCGCGTTCGTGGACCGCACGCAGAAAATCCGAAGTTGCGTGCGGCGATGTCGCCCGCAAGCGCTGGTTTCGAGCCTATGGTGTCGTTGCGATCATTCGTTGCGGTTTGCAGCAGGGGAAACGCTATTCTAAAATTCGTATGATGCCCGCAGCGCTTGCAAACTGTATTCGAAATCTCCCTATTTGCCACGCGAAGTGCTACAATTATGCTAGTGCCTTTCACTTCTTGAAGGACAACCAGACACGTTATGCGGTTCTTTTAAACGTCCAAAACTCCATAGCGCAATTGCTGGTTTTGTCTCTAGTGAGTACCATTGCGTGCCTGCCAAGCAAAGAACTTTGGTACTAAAAGGCACGGGCTGTCACACCTGAGGTTCCGCCGATTTAATAACCCCCGAATGCAGAAAAGTTACTTGACTCAAGACAGTCTTGCCGGTCATCATAAATCGTTCTCGAACTTGCGGACGACTTGAAGGCGACTTGGCTCGGTCGAAGTCGGGACAAGTTTCAAGTCAGCTGCCGGGCTAGCTTGAAAGCGACTTCATGCGTTGTTCCAACATGGCCACCTCTCGAATGGATGTCGCGCGGTGGGTGGCCGCTTTTGAGTTTGCTTGCCTCGCCATAAGCGTAGCATTTTCTGAGCCGCACTGCCAGCCGAAGATTCCTCTACCCGCTTTACGTGACCGAGGAAATCCGATGTAGTTGTACGATGTGTAACAATTCCACGCGCAATACAGATTCACGAAGAACGCCGTGCGGGAGCTGCTGGCTATGTTGCCGCTCCGTGAAAGTGGGGACTACCGAAGACAGCCTGTGCCTCCAGTGTTACAGCTACTGATGACTCTCAGGTTTTACAGCGCTGGCACATTCCAAACAGTCACCGGGGATCTCGTCCGCATTCCGTAGTCGACAGTGTGCCGTGCAGTCGGAAAAGTTACGCTTCTCATCGCAAAGCACCTGTACGCGATGCTTGTGCGCTTTCCGCACGTGGTGGCACTTTCTATGAAGTGGCTGAGTTCCCTGGTGTTATAGGTTCTGCCAACTAAATACATGTGAGTATTAATAGCCCCGGTGCGAAGTGTTCCGTAACCGCAAAGGCTGTTTCTGTTTTTCTAAAACACTGCATTTTCCGTCTCTTTCGATACAAAATTGACTCAGCGCTTTGTCTGTGTGCCTCGTCTATCCTTACGTCCCGTCTAGGGCACTGTTTCTCACTCAGAAAGGCATCGCTTGCAGCACAAAGCTACGAAAAATTCCACTCACAAAAAAAAGAGGTGCCCCTATGACGGTTTTCCTGATCATGTGCATCCTCCTTCACCATCATGCAGCGAGATATTGCATTGCTACACCCCGCGAGAAAAAATTATGCTGAGGGCAATGTCCTGACCCCCTCTTTTTCTCTTGTTTACCAAGCTCTGCAAAAGTATACGAATCACTTTTGTTCCCAAAACTTGTTGTTGTTGTTTTTTTATATATAACTGCGACCTAGCCTGGTAAAAGCATGTTCACAGGCGAACAGAAAGGCGAATACTGTGAAAATCACGTTACCTCGTGAGCCAGGTCAGCACAAATACACGCCGTGGCGTTCGATTGAGAAAAAAAAAAAACTACGAAAGAATCCAATGCGATGCTTGTTTCGCCTCCAAACAAGCAAGCGCGGAGAAATGGGCCGCATTTGGGTGGCCAATAAAACCAGCGGGCAACGGACGCTTTACAGTAGCAACACTGCGCATCGCTGTAGCGGCAGGCACCACGTGCCGCTCGTTAGTCGTAAAATGGCAAAAATATGTGTGTGGCCCTTCGTTTTTATAGTTATTCTAAAATGTATGGTCTTTTTTTTTCTGTAACACGGGCCTTACACGAACAACTTCATTAATAACCTCGTTAGCAGGCGAGCAAGGTGTTTCTGCTTTGAAGCTCGTACTTGACTTCACCAAGCAAGACAGCCTGAGCACCTATGAAACATGAAGGCTGACTAGGGTGTTTTTGAAGTCCGCTGCTTGCTTCACGCTGACTTACTCAAGTCAAGTCGAAGGCGCGAGCCAAGTAACGTCTCTGCATTCGGGGGTCATTAAAACAGTATGGCAACAACATGGGCTCGCAATTACTCATCTTTCGGGACTTTTCAGTAACTGTGCTAGGGTTGCTCTGTGCCTGTTTTAGTAAAGGAATTCAGTACTGAAACGCATGCGCTGTCACGCGTAAAGTTTTTTACATTTGAAACCAATCTAGCTAGAACGTATCATGAAAAAGTGCGCCCAGATTGTGTGCATTAAAATTTCTGTGGCTCTTTTGGTTCACCATAGATGCTCGATGAAAACGCCCGATTTATAAAAGCTATTATTCGCTGTCAAAACGAAGGGGACGCTTTGAAGTGTTCGAGGTGAGTATGGATTTGCAGCTGATGATTTTGTTTCAAATGTGTCGAGTTTGCCAAAGCAACTCCTGTACTTGTTTTTAATGCACTCTTTTCTGGTGTTACAGTTGTGTAAAAGGTAATTTTCTTTCCACCTTTTAGGTATAAAGCGCTTTTCTACAGAAATTTAGTCGTCTTGGCAAATTTAGGAAGATCATGTAAAAGGACAATTGTAAGTATTACTTTTGGGCATTTTGTTTCTCTTCCTTATGCAAATGTGATTAAATGTTATTCCTTTGTAATATTACCCCATGTAGAATCGTTTATGTTACAGAAGAATGCTGCTGCATAATGCATTTAAACAGCAGTAAATCTGCTGTGGAATGTCTGCTCACAAAAACTCGGTGCACTGCTGCTGCATAGGCAATGCTGTTAAAATGTTCCATGACAGCACTGATTTTGGGTACTACCATTTCTAGAATGTTTTGCAGTGCAAAATCTCTGGTAGAAAAAGGGTGAGGTGTTTAGTTTTAGCAAATGTATGTGTCCTTGAAAATGAAATTTAATTCTAAATAATAGGCTGGAATATTTCGTAGCCTCAAATCGTGGCTTAGATTCCCTGGACTCAGCAGCATGCTCGGTCTATCAGGCAGCTGAAAGCTGGTAGTTTCAAGCTAAAAGTCAAAAGGGATACTGACACAAAAATTTTTCTGCTGTCCTCAATTTGTGTCAATGAAAGGCAGTGCCCTGAAGAGTTCGGGAAAAGTTTTGCTAAGGCAGAGTAAGCCCTAAAAAATTTGTGTTTTTAAATGCTAGTTTTGGTTCTCATTGTATCCAGACGTCGCAAGACTGTTTGAGCCTCTCCTCATGTGCCTGTGCAAGAGATCATCAGGTTTTCTACCTCCACATTGCTTGTGGCTCAATTGGCAACACAAACGCAGTCATTTGAAAGTTCTTTTACCAGATGTCATCTCAACTAGCCATGCTGATCCAAGAAGTCACTATAATTAGTTGTAACCTGATACAACCTAGTTCTCCTTTTGGTGCGGTGCAAAAATTCCTTTATAGATTAAAATATCAGCATTTACTAAGCTGAGCACTTGCTCAGAACCATCCTTGTATAGAGGAAGTTTATATAGGAAAGTATACTCTACTACGAAAATCGGCATCTGTACCCCTTTAAGCTTCATTTCATTGTACCACTACACATTTCTACCCATATTCTTGGCCGAGACACGAAGTATCAGGACATAGTTGTAACATCTGCTTAACTTTTCCTTTGTTTGTTTGTTTATTTGGTTTGGCACTGAGAGTCTCCACAAAGTCTATGCATTATTTTTTAACCAGTTCTTGCTATGGCTATGTTGTGGTTTTATGCTGGGTATAAAGCCACACGAGTGTGTTCCATTGCTTTTAAAGCAGTGTTTGTAAATTTTCAAGGCAAACGTAAACTTCCGAAATGCAAGGCAGTTCGCTGTACATGAATCAGGCTTGGCAGGCACGAAGTTGCAGTAATTATGTGCAGTTTTACTTTATGTACTAATGTAATCAGTAAATTCCAAGAAAATGACTTGTTTCTCGCCCGAATATCTTTTACTAATATAGCATATCTGCTTCCTTAAGGCCGAATCGACACACACAAAAAAAGAAATGTATCAGATCAATTATTATTAGTACCAAACTTAAAGCACAGAAACCTGAACAAAAATTTCCATGACTTCAACCTATAAGTGATGTAAAGTGTACATGAGTTGTGTGGGAATGACAAACTCTTGGTAATTTCAGAGTAAGTTTTGATTTTATAAAGTGATGGTAATGTAATGTCATTACTTTTGGTCAGATGTTGATTGTCATATTATTCATTTCCAAAAAAAAAAAATAACTCATAATGCACCCGCATTACTTTTTCGGAGTAATTTTACCATATCTGGTATGAGTACACTTAAATGGTTTTACTGTACTGAATAGTCATAACCTGTGTTCAGAAAATGTTTGCTTGTAAATTTGGAAGAGGGAATATACACAAGTAACACGTTAAACATGCTGCAGTTTTACACAGGAATCTCAAATGCCTCCACAAACCCTGTTGCAGTTTTCACTGAAATGTGGGGAGGCTAATGCAGTTTCATACATAAACTGCGGAACCTTTGCAGAGTCATCAAAGCAATCTAAGAACTTTCCATGACCATCCCGTATGATAAAATGATGTCTAATTATATACAGGCTGTTTCACGGAATAGCAACCAAGGAACTAAAAAAACTGTTTTACCACAACTGTCGGAAACTATCGCATCAGCAGTTATATGGCACTAGTTGCAATATTTTATATGGCGCTTAATTGATTGATGATGCAAAATTTTAATATTAGGCCCAAGTGTGTTTCGCTACATTGTAGTGGACATTTCAAAATCACTAATTCAATTTTTCGTGGCAGCATGCATGCTGCATGGTGTTTTTGTTTTGTTTTTTTTTTTTGTCGGTGTTGATAAGAGTTGGTGAAATGTGAAATAGCCATGTGACTGCACTCATCTGCTGACATATTTTAAGCCTCTCAACCATGTTTCAAAAAAACGTAAAACGACCATGTTTGTGGATCACTATCTTATTGCTTATCAGGGATGAAGGCTCTTCCTCACCATGTGCCGACGTAAAGATGGTGTCGTGCTGCAGCCGCCAATTTCTTCACAGTCTGCAACCATGGTTGTTTCGATCGAAGCGTAGTTTGGAAGGTTGCAATCTGGTAGTGCATGAGTGCAGTCATAGAGTATTATATTTTGCAGGCTGCCCAGATGAACACAGTGAGACTGTCGATTGTTTCTATGATTAAAGCAGTATGAACTCTCAGTTGTACGAACGTCGGTTTAACGAACATTTCATAGTAACGATTTTTTTTAATCCTCATCAATTTTTTATGAATTTTGTACAAAATCTTTTAGTCAAATATTTCAGGTGAAACAACTTTATCTGTGGACCTGGGCTCACTTTTTGGATAAGTTAAAAGAAGTTTCGAGCTTTGCAGCAGTGGTGTAGCCAATACAAGCCGCCCTCAAGTTGCCCATATGTAAATATTAGGTGGAATGTTTCTTTATAAATACTTAATTCTAAAGACCCTAGTTCTATTATGCTGCTCTTGAAATGGCATGCTATGCAGGAAAAAGCGGTTGCACTGAAAACACTATGCTATATGGTGCTGCCACCTGCCAGTCGTCTGGGGTTTGGGACTAGCTCTTGTTTTCTGACATTAAGGCCAGATGGCATCCATATCTCACACAGTGCCTCCTCTACTTTATCAACGACAGCTAGATGTGGCAGATCCAACATAGAGAAGGTGCTGTTAGAGGCACCGCAGGTGGCCGTGGGGGGGGGGGGGGGGGGGGCAAGGACTCGTGTAGTATGGCCGGCAGAAGACCATTATATTTTGATTACATTTGCAGTGAAGCATGCAAATATGTGGCCAATGTTTTAATGCACTCTTTCTCTGTGTCACAGCTTTGTAAAGTAGTTTTTTTTTTTTTTTTCACTGATTAGCCACCAGAGAAATATCCTGCGTAACCTACTCTCCCAGACATCCCTGGACGTCGCTGGTCTTGTAGGGCAGGCATCTCTTGTAAGTATTACTTTTGGGCACACTGTGTATTATACATATCTACCTGCGAAGTCACACCATTGTTTGGCTTCGCTGTACCGCTGATGTAGGCAGGTCGTAATTTTTACATTTTCGCGCTCTGCCTGTACATTAATAAGTGCCGCTGAGCTAAATACCTTCACGTACCCTGTCTCGAAAACTCATCAAGCTTAGTGACATGTCTGATGCACTTGCTCAACAGCAGAAAAGGCAACATAGCTCGAGCCCAGCTCAGTTACAAAAGGTCAGTCTATTGTATGGTCATGAGCTCTGTACATGTGCGGAAAATACGTTAAGGCAGTGCTTCACTTTGCACACTTCTTCAAAGGCAACTGCATGTTGCCTGAAAATTTCACAAGTATCTATTATATATGCGGGATATTTTGCACCGACGCGTTACACGGTTCTTTTAAACTTCCAAAAGAGCATTGCACAACTCTTTGTTTTTTCTCTAGTGAGTGTGGTTGCCTGTGTTCCTAGCAATGATTACTGTGCTTGAAGGCAATCTGTCACACCTGATCATAGGTGTGCGCACAGAGTGAGGGGTGGGGAGGGGACTCAAATTCAGCCCCTAAGTTAGCGGGCGCAGCTTTTGCGTTTTGGTGCCATATGTCTTTTCAAATACCGTTTGCTCCCGCAAATGCTAACACACACTCACTCATCGCTAAGGGGCTGTGCAGGCCTTGCGGGCCGCACGCTATTCGTATTTCTGGCGAGTGGACCACAAACCCTAACGGTGGTTAGCGTTATGAGGCATGCGCAGTGGCAACGACTACAATAGATAGTGTATGCAAAGTTTTGAATACGCCATTCAAAATTGTTCTATTGACGTAATAAGGAGGGGGAGAAAACTGCGACAAAGCTTTGTGCCCCCACCCCCCTCCTCGGAAGGGGAACTCTGCGCACGCCTATGCGCCTGGGGTTCCGTTGGTTTTAACAGATATGGCAACATCTATGCTGGCAAGCTCCACATTTTGCTTCTTTTCGGTAACTGTGCAAATGTTGCTCTGTGTGGGTTTAGTAAGTAAATTCAGTACTCAAACGCATGCGCTATTCAGAGTGAAGCTTTTGACATTTGAAACCAATCTAGCATGAACGTTTCATAGAGAATACGCCCAGATTCTGTGCATTAAAATTTTGCTTCCCTTTCTTTTGTTGACCGTGAATGCTGGTTCAAAATAGCCAACTTATAGAAGGTATTGTTAACTGTCACAACAAGAGAAAAAGAAGGAACCTGAGCAGTGAATACGGATTTTCATCGAATGCTTTCGTGCTTCGAATGTGTCCAATGTGCCAAAGCAACTCCTGCACTTCTATTGTAAATACTCCAGTATTTCTTGGGGTGCTTTAACGCAGAAATATTAGTGGTCTGTCTTTAAAAAATTGGCAGATCCCACGTACAGTGGGAATCGATGATGTGCAAAGCACGAATGAGAAAGGTTTATATGTCAGTTTTAAAATCAGAACAATGTTCCGAGGCACAGGTAAATTATGCCATACATAATTTCCATGTCTAATTACTTTGTTTGGACGTGTCATTTACCTTCATCATCTATTCATGCCACCTGATACCTAATTTGTTGTATGTGGAGCTAGCGAAACGGCCGCGAGAGGCTATGAGCACATCATGAGCGTAGCATGTAGTCATGTTTTACATGACACGAATATCATGATTATCATGTTTGGACATTTTATCTAACTGCGCCGTCTATTGACGTCATGCCATACCAATTCGGTATAAGTGAAACTAGAGAAACGACCGCAAGCGCATCATGAGTGTGGCTGAGGTCATGTTGTTACAGAGAGAGTCTCATGATTATGATGTTTGCACCAGTCACATACTTTCGTCATCCATTCGCGTCCCGTAATACCAACTTGGCATATGTGAAGCTAGAGAAACGGCGGGGAGAGCATCATGAAGGGCCCAATATACTGTGATGTAGCGTTGACGAGCGCACGCTGGGCGCAGCAATGCTTTACGCTAGCAAAACACGAACACTCTATAGTCTGATGCGAGACGCAACCAGCGTCTGTCGGCACAGCCTGGCGGCAACCGGTGTGAAACACGACATGCTGCATTTCACACCAACCACGCTACCTAAAATGTACCGCGTCTGCCTAGCTTTGTGACAAAGGGACGCTGGGCGTGCTTAAACATGCATGCGTCAAAGCAACCCAGTGCGGCGCGTGCCTGCGAGTATATGCCAGCCAGATCGGCGCCTGGCGTGGCACCGCCGGCATGACGCGATATGAAACGAACGCTGGAACACACGCGCACCGGGTCATGTCTAAGTGTATTGGCTCCTTGAGTGTGGCATGTAGTCATGATCTTACATGACACGCATGTCATGATTATTATGTTTGCACCAGTCACATACCTTCGTCATCCATTCACGTGATGTAATACCAAATTCTGTATATATGAATCTATCGATACGGCCCCGAGCGCATCATGAGTGCGGCATGTAGTCATGTTGTTACATGACACGCATGTCATGATTACCATGCTCGGACATGTCATTTACATATGTCATCCGTTCGCGTCACGTAATACTGAGTTTGGTACATGTGAAGCTAGCGAGACGGCCGCGAGCGCATCATGAACGTAGCACGTAGTCATTTGTTACATGACACTCATCACATGATTATCATGCTTGCACCAATCACATCTCTTTGTCGTCCATTCACGTCCCGTAATACCAAATTTGGTGTATGTGACGCTAGCGAAATGGCTGCGGGGCATCACGAGTGTGGCTTGTAGTCATAATGTCACATGACACGCATCTCATGATTATCATGTTTGCACGAGTCACATACGTTCGTCATCCATCGCATCACGGAATGCCGATTTTGGTATATGTGAAGCTAGCGAGACGGCTGCGAGTGCATCATGAGCGTGGCGTGTAGTCATGACTCATGACTTACATGCATGTCATGATTTCCACGTAAGGGTCTGCCGCTTGTGTTCTCCATGCAATCATGTCATACCATACCAGTTTTGCAACATGTCATGTCAACGACCACCGCAAGAGCAGCAAGACCATGAAACGTAAATCATGACTTTCATGAAATACATATCATGATTTTCATGTTATGGCTAGTCGAATATGCTCTACATACAGTCATGTTATGCCATAAGAAGTTTGGTATCAATACAATTATCCAAACGGCCAGGATAGCTAAAAGTCGTAGGCGGATGGATAGATACATATACATACATACATACATACATACATACACATACATACATACATACATACATACGGTTAAAGTCGCCGAAGTTCGCTAAAAAATGCTTCGCATTTAAAAGTGAATGGGTTCAAGCTTGTTGGTACGACTTCATCTTTGCGAAACTGCGCGAAAAAATGATGAGACCGAGAAACACACAGGAAAAAAAGAACAGGTCACGCAAAAGGATTCAGCCACCGGCTAAAGTTTATTATACTATAGTTGTTGGGGTTTAATGTCCCGAAACCACCTGTGATCATAAGAGACGCCGAAGTGTTTGGCTCCGAAAATTTCGTTCACAGGGTTCTTCATCATGCACCTAAATCCCAGCACACGGACCTCGAGCATTTTCCCTCTATCCAAAATGCAGCGGCCGCAGCCAGGAGTCGCTCCCGTAACCTGCAGGTCAGCTGCCGAGTGCCTTAGCCTCTACACCACGTGACTGGTTCCAGCTAAAGTTTAAGCATGAACTGCCGGTCATGAACCGATTATAACCGGCGAGGGTCGAAGGAAGACATCGACCATTACCCTACTGGTTTGCTTGGCCAGTTGGGTAGGACTAATGCTGAATTGGCTGGGTGATTTGGTAAACACCTGTAACTCAACTTCTAGGAGGCCTCAGCATGGGATGGCTTTCCTTGTGAGAGGTTTTGTTGACGTGCCGCTATAGCCGGGAAAATTTGCAAGCCCCTGTAATCCAGCCAATTAGGAGGTCGTGGCACGGGTTTTTGAACCTCGCTGCTGGTTCGGGGATGATTGAAATCCATTCGTGGCTCAAAGGTGCCGTGACTGTGTGGGTTGTCGCGTGACCATGTAATCCAGCCCAGTAAGAGCCGGGACCTTTCGAGCCACTGAGCCCGTCCACCTCCATGTGGTGCGTCATGGGCAACGTGAGGGTGTCCCGAGATACTCGAGCGGCTGGGGGGGGGGCTCACGCTGCGACCTGAAATTGGAGGGTTGGTGGCTGCAGTGAAGGGGCAACAAAGTGGACTTACAGGATTGTTCATGTACCCTCCAGCACCCGGCACCCTAAGTGCGGGCTGCCATCCCCCTCCTGCTGCGGTACAGGAGATGTGCGCCGAAGGCCCACTGGCCTGAGTGCGCTAAGCAGTGCGATACGACACAGGACACATTACCATTTTCCTTCACTGTTGTGGTGGGACAAAGCTGACCCACCCAACCACAGGCCTTGTGTCTTGGGGAAATTGTCGCCAGAAGCCAGAAACACCCTGCATCTTAGTCTGGTAGCTGTGTTCATACTTGTGAATATTGACCATCAAAAAGCAAACATTACACATACATTACTGTTGCAATCTTAATACATAAGTATCGCGTTGAATGTTCCTTTATGACTGTAATTCTAAAGACCCTAGTTCTCTCACTCAGAGCATGCAAATGGCATGCTATGCACGTAAAAGTGATTGCGCTGAAAACATGATGCTATATGGTGCTGCCACCTGCCAATTGCCCTGGATTTGGCCCAAGCTCTTGATTCATGACATTAATGCCAGATGGCGTCTATATCGTGCAGCGCCCCTCTATTTCATCAATGGCAGCTCGATGCGGCCGATTTGACATAGAGGAGAGACAGAGAGAGAATTAAATGGGGAAGAGGCAGGGAGGTTAACCAGACTTTGGGGCATCAGGACGCGCATTCTCAAGCATCACGGGTGGCCGTGGGCGAGACCAGCACTCTTGTCGTACGGCCGGCAGAACACTATCATATTTAGATGACATTTGCAGTGAAGCATGCAGA